CAGAAGCGCAGCTGGGCATCTGGCTGTGCTTGTCTCCTGTCCCGCCTGCGGTCTGTTCAGAACGGGTTCTTTCTCCTGGGCGGGGCTGGGGGGCAGGTGTCGGGGAACAGGCCCTTGGCCCCACGCGCTCCAGGCCCAGGGGCTGTGGGCCTCTTAGCTCCTCGGACCTCCACGCTATGCCCACGATTCCTGGTGCTCGCCTGAGCTGGTGGGAAGTGTCCCAGATTGCTGGGGCTGGGACGATGTTCTGGGCTTAAGGCACTGACATTTGGAAGGAGGTGACCCGTGTTCAGGGTTTGTGTTGGATGCAGAAGTGAAACCTAGGGGGAGGTTTTTAATTTTTAAAGAGTCAAGTCAGGGTCAATTTTCAGAGTTAGGGTAAAAACAGGCTCGAATAAACCAAAGGAAAACAGACACATGATTAAGATTAAAAAAAAAAAAAAAAAAAAAAAAACATGTATTTGGCTAAATTTAACATTTAGGCTGAAGTTTATTTAAATTCACAAGAAGGCTTGTCAAGCTCTAACGCTCCGGCACCTTCTGCCAGGACTCCTTGAAGGAAGGCAGAGTATTTCTTTACAGACCAGCCTGCGCTGTGGCCAGGCTGACAGTCCACCGGCCAGCGCAGCCTGGGGTGTGGATGAATGTGTCCTGCTGTGCCCGCCTCCCCCAGCAGCTTGAGGACCTGGGTATTAATTACTTTTTTCCCCTCTTATAGGTGAGAATATTAAGGTTTGACAATGGTAAGCGACTTACTTACAATCCTACAACTGAAAAGTTGCTGAGCATGAATGGGATGGGTTCCGTGAACTTGTCTGCACTGGCTCCGATGCGCTAGCTGACCAGCTGCTGGAGGAACGTGCCAGGCTCACGTCTGCTTGCCTGTCTGTAATTGGTGTTCAGTCCACAGCCAGCGTTTACTCAGTGCTCTGTATTACGCACTGTGCCAGAGAGAGCAGAGATGAAAGAGACAGGGTCCTCGCCGGTGGGCACTTGCAGTCTGCTATCAAAGTCGAAGACTAAGCTTGGTGCCACCTCCTCCAGGTAGCCTTCCCTGACTTCCCTTTTTCCTTCTGATATTATTTGACTTATAGTGGACACTGCTTTACTGTTATTAATGAAACAGATAATAACTAACACTATGTGCCAGACTATAGAAAAAAAATCCTTACCCGGGCTATCTCATTTCATCTTTACAAGTGATCTCTGAGAAAGGAGATCTGATGAGGAAACTGAGGTATAAAGGTAAACAACTGAGAGTCTCAGTTAAAAGCAGCAGAGATGGGATCCTGCTCGACAGCAATTGAGGCTGAAGACCTCTTTTCCCCAGGTTTCCGCAAAGCCCCTGGCTTAGGGCTGGGCACACCAGGAACTCAGAACTCCCGGTGGACTGATTTGCTGGCCACTCACTTGAAAGTGATGATGAAACAAAATGTGGGGGTGGGGTGGGTTGGGGAGGGAATCCCACAAGCCATTGGGGATCTCTTCAGAGTGCTGAGTCTCCTTTAAAGCCAGAGTAGGACCTGCATTAAAGAAGAGAGATTCCCTAGGGAATCTCATTCATCTCTCTGTTTCATTTTCCCAGCGTGATGTCTGATGCTTAACAGGGCCCAATACAGCTGTGTTAAAAGACTGGGTGAGCATTAGAAAGTCTAAGACTTGATGCATGGCTGTGGCTATTGCCACAAGAATCTCAGACAGGACTGGGGCTCCGTCTACACATCTAGCTGCACCAACACACTTTTAAGGGGCTGTCTGGCAGTCCGTCTCTAGCAGGAAGTTGATCCTGATGGTTTCAGGAGCTTGCCTTCTCTTTCTTCTGTTGCAGGTGACTTTTCATCCCCAAAACCTCACATAAGCTGTTTATGGCATTCGTAACCTGCCCTGAGCTTTTAAACCTATTTCTCTCAGAGCTTTTTATGAGTTGAAATCAACAAACAACTCATATTCATTCTCCTGGGACGTGGGGGCCTGCATCCTTAAGCTCACTCCTTCAACCTGTGGCCCCTTGGGGAGCTGAACCAGAGCGTGGGCCCCAACGGACTGTGGTTAAACGTATGACATGGAGGAAGCAGATAACATCATCGCTGCTTGGAAGGAAAATGCAGCCGCGACCTGGAAGCAAAGACAGGAGGAGTCTGACACTGAATCTTTCTTTGGGTCCCCAGGGCAGCCTTGCGGGATGGGGAAGCTCTGTTTAGACACAAAGGAAGCGTTCTGGGGATAGGCTTTGGTGATTTTCCTGGGTACCTTATCCAATCGCTCATTTGACACTAAAGAAATGAAGTCTGGAGCAGGGAGGGGCTTGCCCGAGGTGTGTGGTGTTGTGGTGGCTGCACAGACTAGATACTGGGGCCATCTGCCCTACACCTACCCCCTCCTTCTGTCAGACCCTGCTCCCTGTAGAACAGCCTGCCGGTTGCAGGGAAGCTGGTTCCTCTCAGGTGTCAGAGGTGATGTGGGAGACCTGATCAGCATCGGCTGTCTTCCTGGCCATAGTGACTGGTGGCCTGTGACCTAAAGTTGGTTCAGCCAGAGTCTCTGGACCTTAGAGGAGTATGTTGTGACATACTGACCCTCCTTCCCTTGGGTTAGAATATAAAAGCTACAGGTCATCTCAGCATCTGACGCCCGGCCTCTTGTGGCATGGAGAACCTCAGAACGAAGCCGACCCCATGCACGGCAGAGAGGAGAGATGGAAAGAGAAGGAATCTTAGGTTAGCGTTCTGAGATGCTGGAGCAGACTTCACCTGATGTCTTTACTCTGGAACATTCAGTTACATCATTTAGTAAGACCTAGTCTTAAGACAGAAGAGATGCTTTATTACTTGTGACCAGTGTAGTCCCGCTGATGAACAGATGACAGGAGACTCGGACATGGAGCCGGCCCCTGCCTCTCCTGGTGAGGTGGACTGAGCTCAAAGGGAGGCTGCCACCCTTCCCATCCCACCCCCTCTCTCTGGCCAGGCTGGAGGTACACTGGAGGCTGAGTCTAGTCTGGAGGTTAGTCCCCATCTGCTGGCATTTTATACTCCCAGTTCAGGGAACCAGGTCGGTTCTTCATATGGGCTCGGAAAGCACTTCTTGGGGTGGTCACTCCCACCCCACTTTCATGAACTCACAGCACTTTGTGTTCATTTCTAAAGTGACACCGACCTGGCTGCATTTTAATGACCAACATCTGGCACCTGCTCTGGCCCCTGGGGCTTGCTGGAGAGGAGCCCATCCCTCACTCACCTTCACACCCTGCATCTCGCCCACTGGCAAAGCTGATATGCTCGGCCTCTTCTTGAGTGGGTGGGATGACCTCTTTCTGCTTCCCGTCTCCTTCTCTGATGAATTCTCCACTCTCTTCCCTTTAAACAGTAGTCTGAGGGCCTCCCTGGTGGTGCAAAGGGTTAAGACACAACCGATGAAGCTATCTGCAGCCTCTGCAGCACAAGTTCAATCCCTGGCCCTCCAGGGAGCTACCCACATGGCGCAGCAGACCTCTCCTGACTCGCCCGCTGCTCCCCTCAGCAGTGTATTTCAGTCAGTATGCCTGTTCTGCTCCCCACTCTGTCTCTGGTGAATCCTCTCACCCCCACACCTCTGGCCTGCACCCCAGCTCTTGTATGCATAGATGAATAAATCTTTAAAAAACAAACAAACAAACAGTAGGGTGAGGTTGAAAAGGACAGCAGACAACATGCAAAGTACTAACCCCAAGTCTGATTCACAGCCCAAGGATTTGGTCTGCTGTTCTATTCTCTTGGGGCTAAGTCCTGTGTGGGACACCCACCCCCTCTTTCTGCTCACCATGTGTTCAGGGCGGCTGCGGATAGAGCCCAGGGCAAGAGGGGAAGGGAGGGAAAGGCTGGAAACACTGAGTCAGAGAATTCTGGGATGAAACTTGAGTCTGTTGGGATTGTCAGTCTAAGTCCTCATGGTCAGAGGAGGCCGCTCAGACCCAGGGAGGAGTCCTCCTGGCTCAAGGTCACCGGGACAGTCCAGCCGGCCGGGAAGGAACTCCAGTTTGCCCGCAAGACCCCTTCCTCCAGGCCCAGCGGGCAGACAGGAGGGCGGCCTTCAGGACGCCTGGGGTGCAGGGCCCGGTGGAGAGAGGATGAAGACGCCCCGCTGGGTCGCCCGTCCCCACTGAAACGTACTGGCCCACTGGGTCTGGAGCCCTTGGTCTGTGAGTCCTTAGGGACCCGAGAAGTGACTCAAAGAAGCGCTTAGGACATCCCTGGCGCCCAGGGTGCGAGAGGAGGGGTGTCGGGGTGCGGCTCAGGAGTCACCCAGACTTTCAGAGCCTCCTCCCAGCCCCTTCAGGCCAAGCACCCGAGGATGGGCTGAGGGAGACCTTCCCCCGCCTGCACCTGCCACCCGTTCCCTGCGCGCACGGGAGGTGCCTGGACCCAACGCTCCGGGGCGCAGGGCCTGCTCCCCCCACCCCGCCCCCGCGGCCTCGAGCCCCCTTCCCGCACAGAAGCAGGCCCCGGGGACCCCCGTCTCCCCAAGTCGGCTCCCCGCATTCCGAGCAGGCCCAGCCTCCTCCAAAGCGCCCCCTGCGCTTCGGCCCCCGCCTCCTCTCCCGGCCGTGGGAACCGGCCCGCGTCCCCTTCCCCCGCCGCCCCTCGCGGGTCTGGGGGGACCCTCGGCTCGCTCCCACCCCCTTCCTCTCCCCGCCCTTTCTCCCCCTCGCTCCGCCCCAGGCCCCGCCCCGCCCCGCCCCGGCCCGCGCCCCCGGCCCCCCGGCGGCCCCCGGCCCCCGCCCGGGGGGAGGCGTGGGGGGCGCCCCGCGGGCCCGGCCCCCCGCGCGCCCCGCCCCGCGCGCGCGCCCCGGCGCCCCCTCGGCGGCTGGGCCGCGCCGCCCGCGCCCCTCCTCCCGGTGACGTGCGGGTCCTGCCCGTCTGAAAACTCCGCGCCGCGGCGGCGGGGGAGGAGCAGCAGCGCGAGCCGAGGCGGCGGCGGCCCGAGCGGGAGCCCGAGCGGGAGCCCGAGCGGAGCCGGCGGCCGCGGGAGCCGCGGGGAGCGCGGGGGCGGCCCGGGGCGCCCCGGGCCCCGCGCCCCGCTCGCCCGCCGCGCGCGGAAGATGGTGGCGGCGCCGTGCGCCCGGAGGCTGGCCCGGCGCTCGCACTCGGCGCTGCTCGCGGCGCTCACGGTGCTGCTGCTGCAGACGCTGGTCGTGTGGAATTTCAGCAGCCTCGACTCCGGGGCCGGCGAGCGCCGCGGGGGCGCCGAGCAGCCGCCCCCGGCCCCGGCCCCGCGCCGCGAGCGCCGGGACCTGCCCGCCCGGCCGGCTGCAGCCCGAGGAGGCGGCGGAGGAGGGCGGGCGCCCCCGGCGCGGGCGCGGGGAGGCGGCCCCGGAGAAGCCCGGGCGCAGCCGCCGGCCAGCCGGGGCGCACGGCCCGCCCGCGCGCTGGTAAGATGCCCGCGCGCCCCGCGCGCTGGGGGGGGGGTGCGGGCCGGGAGAGGCGCCCCGACCCGCCGCGCGCCCCCAGCCCCGGACCCCGGACCACCTGCCGGCCCCTCCTCTGTCCCCGGGGCCGGGTGGGGTCTGCGCCCCGCTCCGCGGCCCAGGGCCGCCCCATCCCGAGTCTGAGCACTGCCCTCTGGGGGTGTGGGGAAGTTGGCTCCAGAGGAGGCGCCTTAGGGGTTACCCGCGCCTGGCAGGGCTTCTGTTCCCAGTCACTCTTGCTGGGCGCCCCGACTTGCTCCGTGCATGTGGGTGTCGTGCCTCGCCCGCTGTCTGGGTGCGTGGATCGTGCCGGGGAGCCTCCGCCGCGGCTGGCGCCGGCGCCGGCGCATCCCTGGATGCTACCGAGCTGGGGGCAGACGACTCCGTCCCCTGCCGGCCGCCGCCTCGGCTCCACCCGGCCCGAGAGGCAGCCTGGAACCCGCGTCCCGCGTCCCCAGCCGGGCCCCTGGCTCCAGGCTCCGTCTCGGGCACCTGGTCTTACTTCGGGCGCCGCCCGTCTGTCTTGGGGTGTCTGATCCGCGCCTGTCTCCACCTTCCCTCTCACCTTGCCCTCTCCGGGCCCTCCCCAGCTTGCCCACCCCTCCCCAGGGGCAGGGCATGCCCCTTCTCCTGCCCGGTGGGCTCTGCGCTCCGACTGCCGTGCGTCCCAGTCGCCGGCTGTGTGTCCCGCTGCACCGACAGGGGGGTGAACAGCCTGGGCTCTCAAACAGTTGCTTCCACAGATCTTCTGGGGCCCTCGAGGCGTCTTATCCTGCCTCCCATCTTCTCGGGACGCCTTGCACACCACTGGGTGGCCTTGCTGAGCCCCGGGAGCCAGGGGCATCCAGGGGCACCCAGGGCGGGAGGTCAGTGCCCGGGAGTCTGGACCGGGGCTGGGCGCCCAGTGGGTGTGAGTGTCTGTCTGCAGACATGACAGGGGACCGTGTGTCTGTCTGTGACTTCATCCAGCCACTTTCCTGCGGGGCTTCTCCTAGCCCCTGGGGACACTGGCTCCTCGGGCACTGAATGCTCGCCTCTGTCGGTCCTCACTTGGGGAGCCCTCCCTGAAGGCTGCCTTTGGACACAGCGTGATGCCTTCTGATCTGCTGAACTTCTCTGGAGTCCACAGCCGGCCTCTCTGTCAGAGGGAGGCTTTTTGTGCCCGTGGGCTGAGCCGCCCCAAGACACGAGGCGATGGCATTTCACGTCGCTGGCTGGGCTGCGTGGGTAGCAGGGAGAGTCCTTCCCTCTTTGCGGGGAGGGACTCCTGATGGGATGAGAGCATTCTCGATGTGCTGTGGTCTTTTATTTATTTATTTCTTTAATGGCTAAAGGTACTCTCAACATTGCCCCTGAACACCTGGAGTCTGTAGGCAGTGATGCTTGGGCAGGAGGCAACTAGAAGTTCTTTCTGGATTTGGAACCCTCTGGGAGGCGGGGTGGGAGGGGGTTCAGACGCGCCATGCTGGCCTGCTGGTGGGAACACTTAGGATGGACACGGGGCATGGGGCTTAGCGTGTCTTTTACATCCGGGGTCTCGATAGGCTTCAGGAGATGCCTTTTGGGTGCAAATCCCACCTGTTGAAGCAAGTGGGGAGAAGAATGGAGGCTGGCTGGCTGGCTGCTTCCTAGGTCGCTGACATTTGGCGATTCCATCCGTGCCCCCTCTGTGCGTGTGTCCAGTTCAGCGTCTTATCCCTCCCCGCCCAGCTCAGCCACGCAGAGGTTTGCCGTTGGGAAGGTGGGTGGGCGCCAGTTTTCCTTGGCCATTCCTTTCGGAATGCCAGTCCCAACAGCAGAGTTGCTTTGCTTTTCTGAAACTCTGCTTTCATAGCCTGCAAGTTCAGTACCCCCTGCCCCCCCACCTCTCCGTGTCTGAATTTCCTCACTTTCCAATATAGACATGTATGTGGTTTTTCTTTTTTCCATTGTCCCTTCTTCGTAGTTGTCTACCGTGCTGCCGTTTACTGTCCTCTCCCCTGGGTTTGTATTTTATTTTCCCTACTTGTCTGTCTTCTCTCTTTTCCTTTCCCCACATCGACACCTGTGCCCTGCTAGAGCCTGAAACCACAGAACAGACCTGTTGGGAGGCTGTGTGTGTGTGTGGGGGCGGGGGGGGGTCTGTGCTCTAGCAGCGCCCACCCAGCCCCTGCCCTTCCATGGAGCTCAAGGAGACCAGAAGGGGGCAGGCTGTTCCCAAAGTCTGGTGCTTCCAGAGCTTGGGTCGCAGCTTGGAGAGGACCAGACGGGTCTGCAAACCACGGAGAGACCCTTGCCACACGTGGTGGGTTTGCAGACCCTGCCGGGGCTGCCGGCACGAGGCTTTGGAGGGAGATTCAGGAGCAGGGCATTAAAAAAAAATAATTCCCTGTGATTTTCCAGATGGTTCTCGTAAAGGCTAGTGAGGCACATGCCTGGGAGATGATGCTTCGTCACTGTGCTCCCTGGCTGGGGTGGGGGTGGGGGGTCAGTTGTGGGTTTTGCATCCAGGGGGAAGTGTGTCCCTGCTGGTAGTGGGGGCTGATGTGCCCCAGGGAGCCGGTTAGCAGGGTGGAGAGAGCATTTTCTAAACTAGACCTTGCTGCTTCCTCGAGCCCTTTAGTGTCCAGGGAGCTGCCCCCCACAGAAGAGGCTGCCTGCACTTTTGGCAGTGCACTTGAGATGTCTAGAAAAAGCACCCAGTTTCCCAAGCAGATCAAGTGAGCGTGGTGGTATCGACAGGTCCCCGCAGAAAGTCTGCAAACTCCCTTCCCCACGGCCTTCTTCAGCGCTCCAAAAAATTAGAATTATTGGGTGGCTGGCAGCTGATTTTTGGGGCGTGCTACCGAGTGCTTCAGAGGGTCTCCCTAAGCTGTGGACTCTACAGTCATCTCAGAATTGAAGAAACAGATGGGCTCACTCATAAAGAGACAGAAAATATGTGTGTGGGGGGATGGGATCAAAAAGACTACAGGTTCGGAGTAGATTTTAGAGAAAATGAAAAAGCTGACATTAATGGAACGTGTTTAGGTTCTTCCTTGGGGCACCAGCGATCCTTTTGAAATTCTCACACTTACGGCCCATGCCCCTAGATAAGCTGTTATTCACGGAACTTCATTTAAGAAACCTAATTTTTATTGCCTTTACACACACACACGCGCGTGCACACACACACACACACATACACACACAGTTTTCAAGGAGACTGGGGTTTCTGTGTCGTCTGACCCCTTTGAAATGTTGATTTTTTGGCAGAAATTTCTCATACTTCACATTACTCAGATAACTCAGGACTTTTTCAGGCATTGGCAGTGACTTTGAAAAATTGGCTCACTGTATCCAGATCGCCTCTGGTTCTAAGAGCCTCAGGGGTGCAGCTTTCCTTTCCATCCAAATGTTTTGAGACTGGAGAGAACAGAGGGTATTTTACTGATGGTTTGTCTTTTTTTTTTTCCCACACTCTCAATGGGGTTTTATTTTGCTTGAGCAGTGCGTTGCACTTCGTACACAGGAATACGCGCCATTGAACAATATTTATCTTACTGCAGACGTTGCCATCTGCTTAATTATGTACTGGAAAGTGTTAAATAAAATAGATAAATGCAGGAATTATTATACACCTAAACGTATGTATTTTATATTCATTTTCCTTGTAGTCTTTCACACTTCAGACTGTCTCTCTAGTTTAGTAATTCTTTGTGAATTTTTTTATCTTCCAGAAGGTTGAGTGGCAAAGTGCTTGTTGCTGTTCTGCAAATAGGGAGCTGAGGCATCCATTCCTATTTGCTGGGGATTATCCAACTTTGATCCTTGGTCTTAATGGAAAGGAAATTTTTTTTGAGTGAGAACAAATACCTGACAGCGTGTGTGTGTATGTGAGTGTGTGTAAGTTTCCCCGGAAAACAAAATACCCTTAAGGCTATCTCTGTCATGAGGGTCTGTCCTCCCATCCAGAGCTATTTAGGATAGGTAGGGCCATAAGTCTGCGTGCAAAAAGACCAAGTGCACAAGGCTGACCTGGGTGGACAGCACGGGGTCAGGACTGGCCACGTCTCTGTCATTTGTTTAATACTGTCGTAGGCTTGTCACTTAGAGCTCTGCCTCTCTCCCTTTGCATCTCCCGTGTCTGTGGACTCGATCCACACCTCCCTATCAGACACCAAAGAGACAGTCATTTGGGGCAAAATAAAAAATAAATCAAATCCAAACTCAACTGCAACAAAAGGCAAGTTCTAAGGAAGAGAAGAGGAAACAGTAGAAGAAGTCACAGGACATCTGTGCCGGGCCGCAGTGCAACTGAGAGAGACCTTGGTCCAGTGTCCATGGCTCTGGCCTGCTGGGCTCAAGTCCCAGCTCTGCATTTTTGCCTTCCCTTGCACAAGCCCTCCTAGCTGTGTTCCTTTGTGAACCGGGCGTCGTCAGAGGCTTGTAAGGGTGAAATGTGATAACACGTGTGGACCTGGTTATGATAAATACTTCAGTGTGAGCTGATATTCTTAAAAAGAAATTCTTCGTATGCCTGAGCACAAGCAGGTTGTCACAATTACTCATTTTCCCACGCAGGGCAGGGCTTGAGTGAAATCCACGGAGGAGAACAAGCATCCGGTCCAGCTCCTCAATGCGCCAACCGTGGGCCAGAGAGGGATGCAGCAGAGGGAGGCGTGCTCACTCTTATTGAGCACCAGCTGTATGCCAGCATCCTTTAGATGTATTGCATATATTATTAAATGCCTACCAAGAAAGCGGGAGGGATGGAAGCAGGCGTTAGGCGTTACCTGACTAATATGAAATTGAGGACGCTGGACTAGAAATTGCCCATTTGTGAGGGCCGACTAGAGACATCTGCAGCAGTAGGCTGAGGGCTTTGTAAGTGTTTCCTCACAGTATCAGGAACTTGTCCTGACTCTGAGGGCTGGGACTGTTGCCACCCCCATTTCACAGATGAGGAAACTGAGGCTCAGAGAGGTGAAGCGGCTTGCTTGCTA